AGAATCCAGATCCCCTGATTCCAACTCCAGGGTGCCTGTCATCCTGGGTCAGGGATGGGGGCAGACGGGGTCTGTTCCCTACTGATGACAGCATGCTACATCCATGCTCTCTTCTGGCCTCTGGGGAGGAACTTGGGAAGCTACAGTGAAGAAACGGCCTGTTGGACTTTGGGCAGACTTAGAGATAGAGCTGAGCCCTGGGGAGGGGGGCGATAAAGCTAAATAGGTCCTTCTAGGTCTCCAGCCCCTCCCCCATTCATTCATTCAACAAATATTTATTATATGCCTACTGTGTGCCAGGTACTATTCCAGGTCCCAGGGACTTGGCTGGGATAAAACAGGGAGAAATCCCTGCCCTGGCGGGCGGGCATTCTGGAGGGACAATGAACATGAACATGGTGTCTGGGGCTGAGCGGGATTCAGACGGTGGGGGGTGGCACTTGCTACTTGAATTAAGGTCATTAGAAGTTCCTTCCAAGTCAGGTCTTTCAAACCTTACTTACCTGTCCCTGTCCCACGCCTTCAGGGTCGCGGGAGCTGGTGTCTTGCTACCTGAGTCCAGGGTGGCTGTGAGCTAACTGATGTGTTAGGGAACCGTGCTCTGGCCAGGAGCCCGAGGCTTTCATGGAGAATTTCAGGTAGCAGACAGGGCAGTTAGGAAGTGTTTGGGGGGCTGCCCTCCCTGAAACAACGTGGGCAGCTGCCCGGCCTGTTCCCAGCATGGGCCACAGGCTCAGAGTCTGATTTCAGATGCCCAGGAAGGATGATCCACCACCACTCACCGGCACCAGACTATGACTGAAATGGAGCTCCTGGTGCCCAAATACAGCCCTTCTCCTCGTGGTTAGAAAGAGCATCGAGTCACAAGTGCCCCTGAGAGCCGATACCAGGTACCAGGCTCTAGCAGACCCCTTCCTGGGAGGGGAATCCTATTTAACTACTTATTATGGCAATTTTCAAATGCATGTAAGAGTACAACCGCATAAGGATGCCCAGGCGCCCCGCACAGCTCAGGAAGCACCAAGTCGGGGCTCTGGTTTCAGGCCGCCCCTTCCTGCCCACGGGGATGCGCAAAAGCAAACTGGGCAGGAGAGGGCTTCCTCCCAACCAAATCCGGAGGAGGCGGGCTCCAGAAGCTTGGGAAAGGAAGCTGGCAAGGAGGAGGTCTTGGGCAGAAGGGAGCCTGAAGTTCAGGAGGCCCAGGGCTAGCTGCCCAGATCAGGGTGGGTGGGAGCTCCTGGTTCTGCCCCTGGAGCCCAGGAGCCAGCACCGCTTCCTGCCCTGGCTCCACCTCTTTGTTTTCTGTCCCTCCTCTTTCCCTTTCACTTGAAATAAAAACATAATTACTAGCTTTATTTTTTAAAACAGGGCAAATTATGGTGACATGCTTTAATTATCTGTGAGCAATGGGCTGAACTGAACAGGCAGGGCCTTGGAGGTTACCTAAAAATAAAGCACAAAGCCACATTAGATGCTAATTGCTGCTTTTGCCAACTGAAGTGAGATTGGGGCCCTGGGTGCCATTCAGAACCGTGGTGTCTTCAGGGAGGTCAGAAGCCCGTGAAGCTGAGTGCCAGGGCCTCATCCTGTGGGACAGCCAGGCAGCGTGGGGAGGCAGGAGGGCAGGGAGAGCCCCTTATCTTCCCTCGCTGTTCAGTGGGCAGAAGGAAACCCAAGCTGGGAGGAGGGAGCAGCAGGCCCCAGGGAAAGCATCGAAAAGAAGGGCTTGTCCTCTGCCTGCAGGGGCCACACAGTCTCCTGGAAGCTCAACATCTTCACATGGCTCCCGAGGCCCCTCCCTGGGCCTGCAGGCTGAGGTGGGCCGGGCACCGGCATGGTGCTAACAGGTCCCCTCTGCCTCTGCCTCCAGGGCCTGAGAGGCCAGGGTGGGGGAACCAGATGTGGGACACTGGTGCTCAGACCCAGCCCCTTGAGCAGGAAGGGGCCTGAGTTTTTATATTGCTTCTGAAGCTGAGTCCCCAGGGTCCTAGGGGTTCCACAAAGGTGTCCTGTGTCCAGCACACCTAGTAGCTTGGTGGGCTGCTGCTCAGGGTTGGTGGCAGCCCGGTGTTGGTTTTGAGCCCAGACAAGCTCAAGTGTTGTTCCCTTTTGATGCAAAAGCCCCGAGTCAAGTACCACACGCGTCCTGTTCACCACTGCACGCGGGGGACCTGGCCTGCAGTAGGCGCTCAATGCCTGGGGAAGAGATGGGGAAAGAAGGGGCGCTGACAGGGCGGCCAACTTGTCTGGTTTTTCTGGGACTTCCCTGGTTTTAGTGCTGTAAGTACTGCATCCCAGGAACTCCACCTGGCCTGGTGACCATAGGCCTGGCCTCTCCCCACCTCCCTCCCCAAGATGTAGTTCAATCACACGCCTTGGCCTTTTGACACGCAGTGTTTTCAGGCAGCGGTTCTCACTCCAGCTTGTGTCGTGGTGCCCTGGAGGCCTGTGAGACAGACTGTAGGTCCCACCCCAGAGCTTCGGGTCCAGCAGGCTGGGAGTGGGCCCATTATCTGCTTTTCCAGGGATGCTGCTTGCTGATTTAGAGAGGGTTCTGCTGTGGAAAAGTGGCTTTGCACAGCCCACTGGACTGCACAGCCGACCCCTTGGGAGCTTGTGAAACATATTCCAGCAGGCCCCATGCACAGAGCCTCAGATCCAATCCTGGGGGCAGCACCTGGCTCATCTGACAGCAGCAGGCAGATGAGACCATTCTGCCCTGAGACCAGCCCTGGGGGCTGCCACTGAGGTCACCTCTGGGCCTCTCCCTGGGAGGCAAGGCCACGGGAGGGGGAGCACAGAGCCTGTGGAGATTCCTTCACCCCTCTTGCAGAGCAAAGGTCTCTGAGGGCCACCAGCTCTCTGTCCAGGGAGCAGGGACAGAACCCTTCCCAACTTATTAAAATATAAAATTCTGAAGATACTGAGCTCTGTCCACCTTCCATGATGTCCCACATGAGCCCAGAGAATTAACCTGGGACAGAGAGCAAAGGTGAGCAGCTAGCAGGCCCCACCGCGAGTATCAGCACAGGTCTGACTTCCACAAGGCCTATGGGACAGGACCCTGCTCTGCCTCCCCAACAGACTGGTGCCCTCTGAGGGCAGGGCCTGGGTGCCCGCCCCCCCACCTGCCCCTTCTCAGAGCCCCAGGCAGGCTGGACTAAGCCAAGTCCCAGGGATGTCTGACAGGTCTAAGCCCCACCAGGAACCTACGCTGGCTCCAACCCTGACTCCAACCCTGGCCTCTGCTCCCCCAGGAGGCTGTGAGACTGACCTGGTCCCCCACTGGCTTCTCCCAAGTGCCTCTCCCGAGCACTGAGGGGAGTAGAAGGGACAGCACCCTCCTTGGAAGGGTGGTTTCCCCCCCTGGAACCTAGATGGGACTCTATAGATGTGGGATCACCTGGGCAAGTCCTGGGCTGAGCATCAAATTCCTGGGTTCCAGGCCAGGCCTTCAGCCTAGCCTTGAGCCTCCATGAGGCAATCAGCTCGAGAGGGGAATGAGCCAGAGGGGGGTAAGGTGCCAGGCTGGGGGTGCTGTCAGGGAATCACTGGGGGGGGGAGCTAGCCACACTCCCCTTGTACATCCAACTCCTCCCTACTTCTGGCAAACAGCCTTGGCCTGACAATCTAGTTTTGCCTGATTAGCCTGGGACCCTGGGTAGGATCTGTCCTGGGTCTTAAGGTCCACCTGCGTGAGCAAAGCCATCAGTGGCACACACCTGCTTTCCCCTCCTCCCTCACACAAGTATCTATGGAATGGACACGAGGCAGGTGCTGCGCAGTCTCCCAGACCCTCCAGGGAGATTCCTGAGCTCAGGTGTTCCCACGAGACCAGCCTCCCTTGGAGTAAGATGGGCTTCCCCCGAGGGCCCTGACACCTGGCACGACTCAGCGCTGCCACCTCACCTCCACACCCCTCCCACCCAGGCCCTGCCTGACTCCCACTGAGGGCTCCTCCAGGCCCTTGGCCACAGCGCCCCACACCCCCAGCAGCCTGGGAGGTGATTGGTGGGGAGTCAGCACTGGCAGCCTGGGCTCTGGCTGCTGGCAGGGCCCATCCCCTAAGCCACTCCCCACTCCCTACCTCCCAACCCGCCAGGGAAGCCAGCTGCTGTGAACACACACTCGCACCCTTGCACTGGCCAGGGACAGGCATCCTCACAACATGGATGCGATATGGACACACACCTGGGCCTAAATGGCAGTCAGACAAGCAAGTATGCATGTGGAGGTGCTGGGAGCACACACATGCAGCTAGAACAGACACGTGCATGGAGCCTGGGGTGCCACACACGTGTGCACCTGTGCCACGCACCTGGCCCACCTGGACACACCACACACATCATCTTAGCACCTGCGACCTAAAGGCAGGACAAGCAGCAGGGGAGGGCTGTAGGTGCTGGAAGCCCTGGAAGCCAATTCCTAGAGAGTTTCCTGGTTGGAAGGAAAGGAGGGCTCAGGTTATGGGGTGGTAATGGGGGTCCCAGGGTGAAGGATGTGAGCCAGAGGAGACGCAGGGCAGAAATGGTACCTGCCTTAGGGGCTGCAGGGCAGAGGACAGGGACAGAGCATACTCTTACCAGCAGGGGCTGATTTCTGGAATCTTCCACAGTGTCCTGGCCCCTCCCTGCCCAAGCCTCTTCACACCCCCACTCGATGCCGCCCAGGGAGCAGCCTCCACCCCCACCCCAGCCCTGGGTCTCATCACCCAGTTCCTCCTTCCCTCTGACCCCAGGCCTCTGGCTGAGGGCTGATCCTGGGGTCCCACTGCTGGACCTTCAGTGGATGTGAAGCCGGGGTGCAAAACCATGTGTTTATTTTTATTAGAAATGTCCTTGGTATAAAAAACAATCATGCGCTATACATTGTCATCAGTAACCATCACCAAACACCCAGGCACTAAACTCCGTGTCATCGGCAGGAGGGGCAGGCGGGCAGGCGGGCAGGACACGCAGCAGACGGGCGGGGGCAGGCGGGCAGGCTGCGGGCCACAGGGACACACAGGCCACCAGGAGGACGCGGCACTTTGCAACACACTCGAGATTTGTTTTTGTTTGGCTTTTTTGTGTTTTGATATTTTTTTCCTTTTTTCTCTTTTGTGACAGGTAAGATTGAGTGACTCAGGAAAGGGGGCAGGGAGGGGAGCGCAGAGGCTGGCTGTAAATGAAGGTGGGGGAGCGCGGCTCCGGAAAGCAAAACGCAGGGGGACCAGGGTGGAGCTGAGGGTAAAGACAGGAGACCTGGGGGCAGGGGCAGAAGAAAAAGAATATGGAAAACAGCACAGGGCATGGAGACGAAGGGCGGAGACACCGACACAAAGAGCTAAGAGAAAATAAAGGTAGGATGGAGACAGGCCGCCCGCGGGACAGGCGGAGACAGAGGGAGAGAGAAAAAACCACGCTGGGGGCCACGGAACCTGAGCCCCTGACTGGGGGCCAGGAGGGGCCCTGGTCCGAAATGCAGGCTCTTGGGGGGCTGAAGCTGCTCCAGCCCCTCCTCCTCCTCCTGCCGCCCGCCTGGCTTGCCCAGGCTACCCAACAGTGATCACTGGGGCTCCGCTGTCCTCAGCACCAAGCCACATCCGTGGGTGCCCACGGGTCGGCAGGACATCAGCTGGGCCCCGGCTCGACGTACCATCCACAAGGGCCTCAGTTCCTCCTCCTGCTCGGCTCTGGCGGCCTCGCTAGATTGCGTGGTTGGTGTAGGTAACGTAAGTCTGTTTGGTGGCCAGCACTGGAAGGAGAGAGACAAGGGGTACCCAGGAGTCAGAGGCTGGCTTCTTTAAACCCCCTGCCGCGTGGGCACTGCCCTGCCTACGGCATCAAGTCCAGACCCCTGAACAGAGCAGTCCAACTCCCCAACTGGGCACAAACTCCCTGCACTGGGCACAGCCTTGCAGCTCACCTTTCCCGCCTTCACAACTTTGCTTGGGCTGCTTGCCAGCCTGGAGTGCCCTTCCCTCTAAACCTGTTGCCCTCGATATGACCCTTTGTTGAGCACTCCCCCCAAACCCACCCCTCTGTGAGGGTCTCCGCCCACGGAGCCCTTGCCCCCTCCTGACTCCACCACACTTCAAGAGAATCATTTTTATCTGTGATATAATTATATATTTTAAAGCATAGTCGACCATTAACACGGCTTTGAACTTCGCAGGTCCACTTACATTAAGTTTTTTGGTTTTGGTTTTTGTTTTTGGTTTGTTTTCAGTAAATGCCTGCAGTGTTTTCGACCCGCATTGGGAGTCCGTGGATGCCGAGAGCCTGCTGTATGCACCAATCCACAGCATTTATACAGGGGACCTGAGCACCTGCCGGCTTTGGTATCCACGGAGGTCCTGGAACCAAGCCCCTGAGGATATCGAGGGACAGCTTAAGTTTTGGGGGAGTCAAAAGTTATATGCAGATTTTTCGACTGCATGGGGGTTGGCGCCCCTAAGCCCCCTGTTGTTCAAAGGTCAACTACATTATCAAAGGGAAGTTTTCAGAAGCCCCACCACTCACTCTGGGAGAGCCCATGCCAGAACATTCAGAGACTGGCAGCCTACAAAGGTGAGTGGAGAATGGGGAATAAATAACAGAACCAGAGAGGGGCCTTGCTAAGCTGGAAACAGGAATATGACTAACTCCGCCATCTCCCCACGCTCAAGGGAAGCAGAAGTTCTCAGGTCCCCTCGGCTCTCCATGCAGCCACCTTTCCCATTTCTGGGTGTCCCTGTCCAGCCTCAGCCTTGAGCCTCCCTTATCAGCACCCATCACTCTGGCCCTCACTCACCCACCCCTGGGACAGGAGTCGCATATCTGGGTAGCCCTTATTTCCCAGCCACAGCCTTTGTAGGTGACATCAGCTGTCATAGGCAGTGTGAGCACTTCTCCAGGGCTCAGACCTCACAGCACCCTATGAGGAGGCCAGATAAGTGTCACCTCCATTTGAAAAATGAGGAACTGAGGCCAGAGGGGTGAGGAGCCTGGCCAGGTCCTTAGTTTTGTCCTGTCCTGCCAGGGTCAGGGTCTCCCTCCATTGCCTGGGAGACAGCCCAGTGGAGAGTAACCAAGGGCAAAATCTCTGCCTGGGGTGGGAGCTGATTTGCTTCTGCAGAGAGGAGGCTGGATGGGAGAAAATCATGGTGTCGTTTGTCATAAAGCTGCCATGACCCTCCATCAGGATCCTGTCAGCTCAGAAAAGGAGGCACACCTGCAAGGCTTAGCCGGGGGCGTCTAGCCTAGAGAAAAGGACATTTGAGGGGAGCAGTGTGGTGGGCTGCACACTGTCACCTCAATCCTCTTTCCAGTTTTTCATTGGGCTCCCGACTGCCAAAGTTAAGGACTACATTGCCCAGCCTCCCTTGCAGCAAAATGTGGCCCTGCATGACAACATTCCTGCTGACATGCGCGTAGAACGGCTATGTGCAACTTCCATGTCATTTGATTAAAATCGGTGGTTTCCCCTGTGCCTCCTCTCTTTTGCTTTCCATGGACAGAACAGACATAGAAAGCAACCAGCCTCAGCCTGAGGATAATCCTCTCAGAGCTGATGGAGCAACAAGATGGAAGGAACCTGGGTCCCCCACTCCTGCTACCATGTATACTATCACATCAGACAGAAACAAGCATTGTCTGATTGAGCCACTGTTTAGGGGCCCCTTCATCATATCAGTGTAACTGGAAGCCCACTGTTACAGACAGAATTGCTGTGTCCCACTTTTGGGGGTCCATCGAGTGTGGGAAGAAGCAGTGTTGGGGTGGGGTGAGCAGAGGGGCACACCAAGGACCAGTGGGGATGCCCAAGTATCAGCTGAAGGAAGAACTTCCTCCTGGCCAGAGCAGAGAGTAGAGTGGGTGTCCTTAAGTAGTAGTTGGGGTCCCTGTCAGCAGAAATGTTAAAGCAGATGAACAATCACTAGGCTGGGCAATCCCAGGGGAGTTTCAAGTTTTAGGTGCCACTCAGACAGGTGCTAATGGAAGGAAATGGTGCCCATGATATCCAGGAAGAGAATAAGAACAAAGCACAGACCCTGTAGTGTACAAAGAATTTCCACCTTCACTTGTAAAATGGCCCACACGGCTCCAGGGTGCTGGGTGACCAGAAGAAAGGAAGCACCATGGGATGGGTCAGTTTTAATGAAGCAGAATTCAGAAGGGGACCTGGGCGAGGCTCACTTGGAGAAGGAAGCTGAGGGACTAGAGGCTGGGACCCCAAGATGGCCGAGCTGCTGAAAGGGAGGTAGGTGGGGGGACTAGAAGATCAGCGCTCTGGAGACAGCCTTAAGCTCCCTCTGGGACCTCTGGCTGCTCCTTCCCTGCCTGTAACACAGAGCGGTGGCCCTTTTTCCCTAGACTTCTTTTCCTGAGGGGAACCCCCACCCCCACATGTCCACCCAACCCTATCCCTCACTGGCAGAAAAAGAGCCAGCAGCCAGCTCTGAATCACACCCCACAGGCCAGCTGGGGGGCATCAGCTTCCCAGGGCTACATCACCCCCTGGGTGAACCAATAAAATTGTTTCCGAACCTGTATACTGCCAGCAGCTCCTGGCTCAAGGGGAAGGAGAACCTCACAGCAGCAGCATGGTCTCCACTGACTGCAGGAAAATGGGAGCCTGGGGCAGCTGTGGGCCAAGGGAGGTGGGGTAAGAGAAAGTGGCCAGGAGCTGAGGGACAGGCAGGCCCTGCTGTCCCTCTAAAACCAGAGCTCTCTCCAATACAAAAGCCCACCCATGGCTTCCAGAACCTGGAAGTGCACTCAGTCCTCAGGGACCCAAGTCCTTCCGTGAAGCCTCAGTCTCACCATCAGGAAAATGGGAGCAATGATCTGTCCGGGGGGAGGGCGGCCAGGAGCTAACCATAAGGAACAAACAGAAGAGTCTGGGCAGGAGTCAGGAGACTTGGGGTCCAGTCGTACCCTCACCAGTACGGGGATCTCAGCACCTGCCATGTGGCCCTTCCAACAAACTGAACTGCCAGGAGCCTCAATCCCCTCACCTGTAAAATGGGGCGATAACCCTCAGCTGGCTCTCAGCCACAGGGCGAATGGAAACACTCATTAAACCTTGCAGAACAACGGGCAAAGGGGCAGGGCCGAAATACTACAGTGATGTGGGGGGAGGTGGGACTCTCCAGTAGCATCCTCAGGGTGGCGGAAGGGACAAGGGGTGTGGGCAGAGGGCCTGAGCCCATCCATCCCTTGCTGGTGACAGGCTGTTGCTGCTGTTTTTCAGGCTCGCCACCTCAGATAACAATTAGCTGTGCAGGGGCAGGCTGAGCTGACAACCCCATTGCCGCCCCCATGTCACTGCACCCAATCTGACTGCCATGGGCCCCTAAATTATTTATTCTGTTGTTTGTTTAAAGATACGTGGCCTGCCAGTGACAGAGTGAAAAATGTCCCTGCTCTACGGGAGTGACACCTCCCCACTCCTCCCGCTCACATTGCCTCAGTCTGGCTGTCCCCAGAATTAATCACCTGGCTCCTGCCTGGTGCGTCTATGGCCCCTGAGCTGAGTGGGGAGTGGGGGGGGCCCAGACTCTGACCCTCACTACGGGGTAGGGGTGAGTGGGCAGCTCTCATCCTTTCCTTGCAGGAAGCAGAGAGCTGGGAGCACGTCAGGGGTGGGGGCTGACTGACCTCTGTCCCCAGGTGACCAGCCTGAGCAGAGGCAGAGGCAATATCAGTGAGGTGCGATCACAGCTCTCTGTGAAGGCCTGCCCTTTCTGGTCCCCTAGCTTGTCACAGCATCATGAGTGTCACTCTCACTCTCAATAGCCCAGGAGCAGAACTGATCGACAGAGCTGTTCCTGCACCAGCAGCGTATGGCCTGGAGGGACAGGACAGTCAGGATTGTGGAGCAGGAGCAGGGACGGTCCCTGCTTAGGACAGAGGGCCTGGTTAGGGGCTGCATTTGGGTAGACACGAAAGGCCAGGGGTGGGGAGTTCTGAGGACACTGCTCTTCCCCATCTCAGAATGGAGGCCCAGGTGGCATCTGAAGGGAATTCCAGGGCTTTAGGTGCAGGGAAGCTGGCGCCCTGGGAGGAGCAGGACTGGAGAGAACCAGAGGTCATTTGGTGGAGGGTGGTGGTGCCAACATAGTCATCAGGGGTGTCAGTCAAGGAGGGGGCACTTCAGAAGCCAAGTATGCTGCTCAACAGAGAATGGGGACCCCAGAGACAAGGAGGCCATATGAAGTCAGGGTCAAGGGAAAGACACTATGTACGGCCAGCCAGCCACCACCTTGCTGTGTGACTTCAGGAGAGTCGCTCACCCTCTCTGAGCCTCAGCTGGGGATCAAACCTGCAGCCCTAACCAGGCCTCACAGGACTGCTGCGAAGATCACTCAAGTGAAAAGTCCGGTTTGGATGTAGGAAGGGACTTTCCCCACTTGATATTCCCTCAGCACGTGGACCTGTGCTGAGAAGGGAGGGGACTATGCTTCACCGGAGCCCTGAGGCAGGGACCCTGTGAGAAGTGCTGGCCCAGCCCAGGCTCACTGGGAGGGAAAATCTCCTGTTTCCCCTGATCTCTTGGTGGATGACAAGGGCTCCTCTCTGGAGCCTGTGCTCCGGGCCTCCCTGTTGTCTAGCCCATGTCCCTCCTGCTGCCATCAGCACTGTCCCCTTTGGCCTTTCCCCCAGGACCAGAAGGAGGAAGCAGATGCCCACTCTCAGGTCCCACCAGGATCTGATGCCCGCAAGACTTTCAGTGATGGGGAGGCAGAAGGAGTGGCCATTAAAGCCATATGGCCATTTTACAGGGCGTCCAGCGAGGGAGCCAAGGTCTACAGTGGGGCAGGGTGACCACAGCGACCCCTCAACCCTCCTACCCTGAAGCAGCTGAAGCAAGGCCCATGGGACCCCCAGAGCCCCACAGGTGGAGGCTGTCCCAGGAGACAGTGGGCGGCAGGGACAACGGGAGGTCAGGTCCGGCCCTGCCACCTGCTGGCTATGTGACCTGGGTCACCCCTTGCTTTGCTGTGCCTCTCCTTCCTCCTCCGTATTATACAGATGACAAAAATACCAATCTTTCAAGATTGCTGCACGGATGAAAACTGGTACCTGACAGGTGTGGCACACAGGGTTCAGGAAACGGTTCCCTGTCCCCTGAGCCTAACCTGTCTCTCACCTGCCCTGCCCTCTCCCCCTCCGTCTCTTCTCCTCACACAGGGCTGACTGCAGGGCACCAGGGAAGTTGGCAAAGAGGGCAGCCCTGCTCCCTCCTATGCGCACGCCTTACCCAGCCTGAGGGACCTGTCCCCTAGATGCTAAGTTCCCTGGCCCCTTCACTCCCCTGGTCCCCTCAAAGGACCCTCTACAAAAGAGGCCTCCTTGGACAACCCCCGGGGCCACTCTGCCACCTGAGAACTTTGGCCTCTGAGGCCCCACCTCTCACCTACCCATCAGTGCCCATGTCCCAAGTCCCCATCTCTGGGGCCCTGCTAGGGGGTGGCGGGGCTGATACCAGGGCCATGGCTCCCAGGTTCCCAAAGGGCCAGAGAGCAGCACCGTCTACACCACCGCTTCTCCCAGAGGGACTGACGGTCACAGGCCCAGATGTGGGCACCAGGGAGAGAAATCCGGGGGTTCACATCACAGTGCAGGAATCAGGCCCCCCACAGCTCCCTCTAGGTAGGGCAGAGGCCTGGAAGGGGCGGCCAGGGCGGGCATGGGGGTCTGGAGGCTCCCGGCTCCCAGGGTGGCAGGGCCAGCGGGACTAGCCTGCAGCCCCCCAGGGTGGCAGGGCCAA